TATTTATTTCAGAAGTTTTTATTGAATTTGCTTTTATTGCACATCGGGTTTTTTGCACTGATTATGGTATGCAACAAAAATATTTTTTATAAATAATTCGTCTTTATTACTTCACAACATATGCTGCAGAGTGCCTACTGCTACCGAAAGCACCCACTACTTGTTGCAGAGATGGCAACAGTGGACATTGGTGATAAGATCAGTGACATTGTGTAATAATTATAAATGCACAGCAACCACCACAAAATGAATAAGTACATTAACAGTGTTATATTCATAAATGTACACCAAGCACTAAACACTTCCTAGTAGCCCCAAAACTTCAGGACCAGGTAGAGCACAGTCCACCACACTGCATTTCTGGGGCTGATTATTAACATACTCTTTCAATGCCTCCATTAGCTGTATAGCTTGGAATTGAGCTCTTCTAATAGCCCTATTGTCCGGCTGTTCCAACTCAGCAGACAGCCACCTCTACCCTCCATCCCAGTGGCGACTTTCCCCTTTGCCTCACAGGTATTATGCAGGACACAACAGGCAGCTATAACAATTTATTTTTCTCACTGAGATCCAATCTCGTGATTGAACACTGCCAATATCCCATCAGTCTACCAAAAGCCCATTCACCTGTCATTCTGCACCTGCTCAGCTGGTAGGTGAATCTTCCCTTGGCGCTGTCGAGGTGGTCGATGTACGGCTTCATGAGCCAGATGAGCAAAGGGTAGGCTGGGTCCCCCAGGATCACTGTTGGGATTTCCCTAGTGCCAGTGGTAATCTGTTGGTCGGGAAAAAATCTCCCTGCTTGCAGCTTTCTGAACAGTCCTGTCTTCTTAAAGATGCAGACGTTCTGCACCTTCCTTGACCAACCAACACTGATGTCAGTGATGTATCCACAATGATCCACCAACACGTGTATAACCATAGAAAATTAGCCCTTTCTGTTAATGTACAGTAAAACCTCAGAGTTATGAATACCAGAGTTACAAACTGACCAGTCAACTACACACCTCATTTGGAACCAGAACTACACAATCAGGCAGCAGTGACAAAAAAAAAGAAGAAGCAAATACAGTACAGTACCCTTCAACGTAAACTACTAAAAAAATAAAGGGAAGGCGGCATTTTTCTTCAGCATAGTGAAGTTTCAAAGCTGTATTAAGTCAGTGTTCAGTTGTAACCTTTTGAAAGAACAATCATAATGTTTTGTTCAGAGTTACAAACATTTCAGAGTTATGAATAACCTCCATTTCTGAGTGTTCAGAACTCTGAAGTTCTACTGTACACCATGGCAAGGTGGGCTGGTGCTAAAATAGGGATGTACGCTCTCATCTATCACCTCACTGCAGTTTGAGAACTCCGTTGCTGCAAATCTATCCTGCACTTTGCCTAGAGTCACAGGCAGTTGATGATTAATGGCCCTGCACATTTGCATGACAATGGTCCCCAATGGGGATTTTTCAATTCCAAAATGATTGCCCACTTACCAATAACAATCTGGTGTTGCACGCTTCCCCAGAGTGATCACCATTCACTTCTCAGCTGTCAGTCCAGCCCTCATTCTGGTTTCCCTGACTGGGTGGTTGGAATGAGCACAGTACACAGATCCAGGAACATGGCCTTTCACACCCAAAAGTTCTGCAGCCACCGCTTGTCATCCCTAACCTGCATTACGATGGGATCCCACCAGTCAGTGCTTGTTTATCACACCCGTAAGCAGCGCTCCACTGTCTGTAGCTGCTCCATGAATGCCACCAACAATGCTAAATTGCTTTTCACTGTGTTCCACAGTGATCGGTCCTCCACAAAAGCATCATGTCCTCCATTGCTGCGGTTCTTCCTGTGGCTCTGCAAATACTGGAGGATGGTTCGTCCAGTGTTTGCAATGCTCATGACAGTAGTGCAGAGCTGTGCAGGCTCCATGCTTCAAACAGAAATTGTGGACAGTGAGAAGTGCTGCATGGGTTTGTGGGATTTTTTTTAAAAAGTCACGGAAAGTATGGGATATCAATGGCATTAAGGGATGGGAAAAGTTGCTTGATGGGACCTTGACTCCTTGCTCATAGTCACCCTTGCACAACTGCCCCACCATGCTGTGACTGGAAGCACCCTGTATGCCCACTCTATACACAATTGTAATAATCTTTGTAGAAAATATGCCTTTGTATCATTTGAAAACTGATATCTCACTGTTCAATAATGTCATAGTGAAATGTATGTAGCAACATTATATGTAAAGTTATGAAATCCCCCTGAATGATTATTAGCTCATGTTCAAAACCACACAGGCAAAGGTTATAAAAAGAGAAATGTGTATTAACCTCAATTTACATATAAATAATAAACAGGGCCAGCAAGACAGCAGGGAGAGCAGGTGGCAAGAGACAGCAAATTTGTATTTCAGCAAACAGAGGTGGGGGAGAAAGAGCATGGAGCTTCCTCCCTCACCAGACTCCATGTCACCTTCCTCACCATCTGAATAAACTTTGCTTTGAGGGGTAATCTTCAGAAGAATATATTTCAAAGGTGATTTGGACTATAAAAGAAAGGAGCAGAAAACCCCAATCTCTTTCTTTTTCACCCAAGAAGACAAAGGCACCCGCACCTTTGGGCCTCTGGGAGAGATCCTGAGCAAGGGAAGGGTCAGCCACTATCTTGCTGTAAGACAGTGGGTAAGAAAGGCCATCTTAAACAAAGCCTTGAAACAGAACTTGCTGGATTGTTTTAGTGTTTTAGATTCATTTTCATTTTATTTGCTTGTAACCATTTCTAACTTTATCTCTTCTACGTGAGTTCACTTACAACCCTATCTTCTTTTGTTTGTTTTATTTTTTAATCGAAACCAATCCGGGGCTATGTTTAAATGGAACTATTTGTTAACATAGCAAACTGTTGAATATTGACTCTTTACTGGGGCAGTGGCTCTTAATAACTGAACTGTCCTGGAAAGGTCTGGACAGTGCAGAACACACGTTTTTGGGAAAATTCAGGACTGGGAATGTGTTGGGTTCACCATACAAGTAGTAACCAAAGCTGGTGGAAGCCAAAGTGTGGCTGTTGTGTTGCTGGCAGGCTGCTGGGGTCAGAACTGCTGGACCAGGGCTGCAACCATACACAGACACTCAGTCAGGCCCTGAGTAATGCTGATAAACTACTTATGAGCAGCCCTGGTTGGGAGCTACGATAGCAAAGCATTGTGAAGCACCCAGGGTTGTGGGGCAGGCGGTGATACAACCACTCACTGGTTTGGATTGCACCCCATAATGTGACATGTATATTGCCAACATTTCCCAAAAGGCAGTGTGCCGTCCGACTGTAAGTTGCATGCTCGGATACCTACCACACTGAATTTACATAAGCGATCATGGTGATTATGCACAGCACTAATTCAAACAGCCAAGTATGCAAGCATACAAGCAATATACTAACTGCAGCGGCTTTATGCCAATGTAACTCACATTGACCAAAGTTTGCAGTTTAGACGTTGCCTCAGCTCTCTGCATACTTCTCATGGCCACCAAGTGGGCAAAGATGGCATGGAACAGGATGGGGAGTGGCTGACTGGGTTCTGGTAGGGAAATAAGATGAATCCTTTCAAAGCCTGCAGTAACTTCCTTCCTTCCCCAAAGCAAAGGAAGAACAGGGGTGAAATTGTGTCATGAAGTGAATTTTGGGGCACAGTGCCTCCTGGGCTATGAATGTGGTGTAGCTTACAAACAGGCCCTTGTTTAGGATTGTGCCAAAAGACACAACCCTAGCATAAAGATTTCAGTGAAGTTATTCTGGATTTAAACTGGTATAACTGAGATCAGACTAGCCCCAGGTCTTTGAACAGCCTGGTATCCATGGTCCCCTACACAGCACTTAATCTTTGTTTGCCTGTATGGATGTCTCTCTTCAGACAATTAGGGAAATGAAAGGGAACATTTTCATCCCATAAAGGGAACAAAGGACTATGAAGATATTTCAAACCCTCGCCTATGTTAATCAAGTCCAGTCCTGAAAGTTTAATGAAAACAGAATCACTATTTCTTCTTGCTGCAGGCATAGAACTTCAGTGGGAGTTAAACACATGCATTAAGAGAAAAATAGGCCTGTGTGTTGCTAGAAAGTTTTCACCACAGAATTACATTTTACTATTGCATTTTAGATTGTTAAGAAATAAAGCAGTTCAAAAAGGAAAAATGAACAAAAATCCTGAAGCTTGAAGTTTCCAGTATAGAATTTTAAAAATAAACTTTTAAATGTTTGTATATCTGCTACACTTTGTGTAAACATGTTACTTTAAACAACTTTCTTGAAATTCTGTGAAACTATTTCGCTCACTGGATGAGGCTCTTTATGCCAATGAAAGGATGAAGCCGCTCTCTGATTGATTTGTAAGCTAGTGAAAAAAATGGAGTTTATATGAGAAGAGCTAACACATCATTAACTATTGTGATCCTTTTGAGTGCTGGAATATAACTTGTTCCAAAATGGTTTGCAATAGACATCAGACAAAGCTGCTTTTGGAGCTGGGGGAGGAATTTTGAAACTAAAGAATGTCCCTTCACAATCAGTTTTTCTCAGTTGCCCATGACCTGTCAAAATTTTCTGAGAAGCAAAATGCCTGGGCTTGTTGATTTTGTTTAGACCACATTCTGTCTACACTGTAGCAATAAAATACTTTCTTTCTTTCTTTCTTTCTTTCTTTCTTTCTTTCTTTCTTTCTTTCTTTCCTTCTTTCTTTCTTTCTTTCTTTCTATATTCAGCTACTTTACTGTTTGCATTTTTTAATAGACACTGGCTTCTATTTAAATTAGGGATATTGGCATCCTGTAAAAAGACACTCAACACATAAGAGTTGGTTTTTTTTTTACTAACACTGACTTTCATTTCATTATAATGTGATGTATTTATCATGCTTTTCTGCCTTTCATTTGCATATGAAAAACCCTCATTTTTGCATCATCATGTATCTTCTCTGAAAATAATAATTAACATGAACTTCTTTGACTGTACAGAGCTGGCTATTTGCCTCAGAATATTCCTCTGGAGATTATCAGATACCTTTCCGAGGAGAAGGATTTTCTGCCTTGGCATGCTGCCAGCCGAGCTCTTTATCCTCTAGATAAATTGCTGGACCGCACTGAAAACTACAACATTTTCAATGTAAAAGATATATTCTCTTCTTTTCTATTGTCCTGAGATGAACTAGTCCACAGTCAGTTATTGTAATTGATCTAGGGATATTAACTTTCTTTCTAATTATTTTGTATTTAAATGTAGCAATTGTCAAACTTAGGTTCATTTGCATTTGAACAGTGATAAGGACTATTTGAGGCATATATAATGAGTAGAAGGAAACTTAGCTGTTCTTCCTATAAAATATTATGACAAATAAGTTGTTTAATTCTTAAAAATTCTATAGTTCTCTGGAGCCACAGGACTACACTTTCATTGAGGCCCCAAATAAGCATGGACAGAAAATGTGCTCACAGAATTGAGCAGGATGCATGCAGTTGCAGTCTATATTGTTAGTCATTATTTTCATCCTGAAAGGCATAGTGAAGTCAATGCATTTCCCTTAATTAACAAGGATTAGATCACAACTGAGTCAAAAACCTATTCATAATTGGGACCAGGAGAACAACAGTAGCAGCAAACAGTAGATAATCCAAATAGACATGACAAACATTTTAAAATGTTACCTGAAAAAATGTTGCTTAATCTTGAAGCATATTTGTTAAAAGGAACATTGTTTATGACACAGACTTTAATTGTATTTATTAACAATTATAAGCTGTATTACGCCTGTGTACTGTCAGTGAATTTTATGTACGCTGCATAAATTGAATGCCCAACCACTTGTGCATAATTTTATAGTACAGTTGAAATGAAGAAACTACATAAAGTCTGGTATATTTAAGGAGACATTTTTAAAATACACCCAGATACATGCTGGCATGGAGAATTTATATGAGGAATATATTACAGATTAATAAAGAAATACTGGAAATGTTTCTTCATGAACCTATGATCTGGTTCTAACTCCAAACCAGATGGCTCTCATGTAAAATTACACTTTTCATCTTCCTAGTCTATCATTACCTGCACTGAAAAATCATTATTAGACAGTGATTGCTGTTTGGTTTTAGACATGACTGTGTAAAGAGAATACAATTTTAATAAACAAAAATGGTCAAAATTAATTAGGGTTGTGTTTTACCACTACTGATTCTTCCTGAAATCTGAAAGCAGAGTTGATGGCAGAAGAAATATAAACTCATTATAGTCACAGAATAACTTATCTGCTCGAGAAAGCTATCCAGTGCATCTCCTTTGGTTCCGTCACCACACACATATGCACATGCATCCATAAAAATAAAATGGATATTCTCTTGCATTAGTTCATTTCAGTTCTTTTTTTCAAAGCAGTGAATTCTAGTGGCAGAAAATTATGCTGTGACTACAGTGACAATAGTATACTTCATAACTTGTAACTGAATGTAAAGATGCCTAATGTGCAAGATGTGAGAGTAAGATAAAACATGTCTTGTGCTGTCTTTGATATTTATACACAGCAACAGCTAAATGGACATTGAAATAGTGTCATTATATAACCCAGTCTTGATATGCAGCACACATTGTTTAGTATTATTAGATCAGTTGGCTGCACCTGTGTAATGGTTTCGCTGTAGCTATGAAAATAAAGACGATCATAGCTAAGGCTATGATTTGGTCACAGGTGCTTTTAGTAAAAGTCACGGACAGGTCATGGGCAATAAACAAAAATTCATGGCCCGTGACCTGTCCATTACTTTTACTAAAAATACCTGTGATTAAATCTTGGAGGGGGCACTGGGGGAGTGTGGGGGGCTGCTGCTGGAGGGAAACATGGGGCAGGAGGTTGCTGAAAGGGATTGGGGGGCTGCTGCTGGGGGAGGTGTGCCCAGGGCCAGTGGCACCAGCTGCGGAGCAGCAGACTGCATCTGCTCTGTCCCACTGCCTGGGACTGCAGACCATGGCTGCTCTGGCCGGCCGTCCAGGGAACACTGCTGGGGGCCACCAGAGCAGTAGCTGGTGTGGCTGTCCCAGGGACCACCTGAGTAGCTGGCCCTGGAGCCAGCTGCTTGGGCGGCCCTAAGGTCAGCCACACTGGGCCCTGGAGAACTCACGGAGGTTGCAAAAAGTCACAGAATCCGTGACTTCCGCGACCTCCGTGAGAGGCACGGAGCCCTAATCGTTGCTATCAGTTATCTCACTACGTATGTGCTAAGTGAGTCAGTTTAAATGTTTAATGATGGCCATTATTCAGACATTCATTGTGAAGTCAAGATTGGCTTAGCTAGAGTAGGCATTAGCCTGTCCAAGCTCCAGCAACACTTCACTTTTGTAGTGTGAGTTCAAAATACTGTTAAAGTAAACAATTTATAAACTGCTGTATTCTTTACCATTAAATTAGCTAACCCAGTAGACCCAGTCATGTAGCTGTTCTGTAGATTCATCTTCCATTTAAGTAAAGAGTGGGATTGCATACAAAAGCGTTGCAATACGAGATCCAAATCAAAGAATTTTGAAATTGGGGCATTATTAAAAACATCAATCAACAGTATTTCAAGTTTGAACTGAAAAATCAAAAATGAAGTTTAATTCTGAAAATATATTTAACCTATTTTTTTCTTCCAGGAATATATTTTAAAACAAGTTGCAGCGATGTACCTCAAACTTGGATGGCCAACGAATAATTTAAACAGATCCCTTGTTCAAGCTGCCTACCAACATGAGTACTGTTATATTTTCTTTATTAATTTTCACAGGAGATAGTTGTAGTAAAGTGCTTTCCCAATACTTAATGTGAATTTCAGCATCATGAGATACCTTTCTATCCTTTTCCTCCTTTCATTTCTCCTCACTTGAGGGGGCTAGGTGCTATGAATCAGTTTCCTCTGCCTGGAATTTTGAGAACAAAGACATGTTCCTGTTAAGCTTTAATTTAAGTGCTGGCTCCATCGGAGACTTTGGGATTTGAACTCACGAGACCATTGAATTTAGTAGGGTTGTGTGAATGTAACACTGCCCATTTTGATCCATGGCCTTTAATTAAAAATTGTAACTGTAATAACATGGTACTTAGTTGTTACTCAAAGATATACAGTGACCACGTCTTTAATATTTTTGTTTAATTAAATATTAACAGCTCCCTATAAGAAAGGTTAGAATATTTTCTTCTGAGAATTTCAACATATTTATTAATGTGACCTCATTAGTGTCTTTATTTGTGTTTTCGACTAACCCAGAGAATTGCGTCGAGAAGTCATCATGCTGGCCTGCAGCTTTGGTAATAAACACTGTCACCAACAGGCTGCAACGTTAATCTCAGATTGGATTTCCAGCAATAGAAACCGGTAAGTGGAACAAAAATGCATCTCCCGTCCACCCAACTCAGAACTATTGTAGTATGAGTGTGTCTCTTTTGTCTACACACTTTTTGCATACAGGTAAAAAATGAAGCAGAACTCACCAGCTGTCATTTAAAACATTGCTGTGAGGCTGCAGAGCTAGAAGGAGTGGGAAAGATCTCTTAATTTATGGATGGGGCAAATGGAGCCTCCTGAGAAAAAAAAGAGGTTGATTTTAAGGAAGGATGGAATGGAAGAAAGAGAGGATGCTTGGTAGATGAAGACAGGAATAAGGGCAACATGACAAAAAGTGTGAAGCTGTAAGTGGGAAAGGAGATAAAGGGAGGAGTGCTGTAAAAGTTTTCAGAAGACCTGAAAGAGAGAGGGAGGAAAAGAGATGATGAAATGTAGTAGAGGGAAATATTATGTAGAGCTTTGTAACTCAAGATACAGAACTTGAAAGAGATGCCGTAGGAGGCAGGAAGCTAATAGAGGGATTCAAGGAGGGGTAATGTAATAGGAGCAATGGGGGGCATTAGCAGCAGTATAATGAACAGGCAAGAACTATAGTAGGCAAGCAGACCAGCCAGAGATTTGGGTTGTCAGGTCATTGACAATGTGCAAAGTATGCATATAAGTGCAGAGTATTAATAAATAAAGTAGTGTGATTATTAAATCATGCAGTTATTCATGGAGAGTAAGGCATGTACAGGTGAGGGCCACAGCTTTCTTATGAAAGAATCATCCTTTTTTTCATCTGGTGGAAGGCAGGAAACCAGTTTCCGCATATCACGGGATATGATGTTTTGTTTCTAGGTAAAATATTTTATTTCAGGTGAAGTTTTCAAAAGCACCTAAGTCCCATTTTTAAAACTGAATTAGGCACTTATTTTCAAAGGTATTTAGGTGCATAAGGATGCCGATAGATGCCATGTGGGATTCTCAAAAGCACCTAAGCAGGTTAGGTGCCTATCTCCCACTAAAATCAAAATAATTTCCCATTGAAACCTGCTTAGGCACTTTTGAAAATGCCATTAGGTGCCTACATACATTTGAAAACCTGCCCCTAGGGAAAACGTCTACTACATGGCAAGCAGAATCCTGCAACGGCGAGTCTCAAAACTCAGATCTACAGCTCCTGGTGCTAAAAATGGCTGTGTAAACACTGGGATTGAGCTTTAAATCCTAGGGAGGGGAATGAGTTTCTGAGCCCAAGCTCCAACCTGAACCCTAAAACCAACACAGCTATTTTTAGTGCTGTAGCGTGAGCCGAAATTTGTAGAGCCAATCTCTGAAACTCGCTGCCACTGGTTTCTGCTCGTCGTGTAGACATACCCTTAGTGACATTGAAAATGGGATTTAGGGCTAGATTCACCCTAAGGGAGTTAAGCACTGTAATGTTCCATGTTGTAACTTTTAAGGACCCTGCTGCCTAGTGGAATTTACGACCCCAAGTGAGGCATCCCACAGGCGAGAGAGGCAGAAAGATGCCTAGTTTGTGAATCCTGGCAGGGCTTAAGCATGAACTAGTTGCTGAGCAGGTCAATGGCATCAGAACTTAGGCAGCTTTGTGCATGGCCACTAGCAGAAACATAGGCACCTAGGAAATTTTATCAATAGTAATGTAGGTGCTACAGACTTGGATGGCAGCTGAATGGTGGATTTGTGAATTCCATTGGTGCCTAGATGTTGGATTTAGGCGCCTAAAATGGCAGGTACGCACCTACATCCTACTTTGAATCTAGGCGTTAGTCTTCTAAGTCACTTAAGTGTTTTGGAAAAAAGTATCCAGAGTCTATGAAAATATGCCCCAAACTCCAAAAAGAAAGTGTTATTAAAGGATTTGTCAGGTTAATTCTGTATGATGAATCCAAGCATGCACACTTTTAAGAGAATCCTTATCAATATCAAAATTAGCAAACATTAACAATGCTAGATACGTAGCTATTCAAAGAGGAAAATACAAAGAAAGAATCACAGGAAAGGATCTGCAAAAGTAATTTACTGAGATACTCATTTGCAACAGCAAAATTAGTTAATCACATTTAACATAATCTATTAAATTGCACAGCAGTAGATAATGCAATATATAAAAGCTGTCACCCTGGAAAGCCTCCCCCTCTCCCCTCTAAAGGACTAGAGAAGAAGGAGGCATCAGAAAAAAGCTTATTGCTTTGCTAACAATAGCGAGAAAGGAAAGGAACACATTTAAGGAGCCTTCTGAAAACTAATCTTACCTTTTCCACAAGGCCATTCTTGGGAGCCCAAGATTGTGACTGCTGGAGCACAATGAATGTTATGATAAAGGTATCAGAGCGAGGCAGAGGAGGAAAAATACCAGCTAGTTAAAGCAATACATTTCTGTAAAGAAACTGGACAATTTTGAAAAATAGCCACCACAAATAATGTAATTATAGAACAGGGATTGACTTCAGATGATAAATAAGGGTCCAACTTGCAAAGAAGACAGATTTATTTTATTTATTTCGTAAGATTCTAAGTTCAGATCTTTTTCCCCACCCCAGAGATTGCCAATTGCTGTTCTCAAAACAGTCACCACGTTTGAATGTGACTAACTCATTGACAGGCTGATACCATGTCTGCTCATTTTGGAAAGGCATCACAAAGGTCACTTATTGTAGTTGAGAAACTTTCTGCCAGTTTAGCAGCTTAATAGTCATAAAATCAGCTTGTACTTCACAGTATCAACATTTATATAGGATCAGCACATCTATTTTTGCTCATACAGTAGTATGGCTATATAATGGTTCAGCTTTCTGCCATATCACCGAGATTCTGTTATTACCAATAATAATAATAATTCTGTAATAAGAATTTAGTTAACATGGTGTGTGAGCCAGAACAGAAGCCAGAACACACTCCCTGAACCGTGTTGGCTAATATGAGTATAATGGGCAAAAAAGTACATCTTGGAATACATACAAGGAAGAGATATGTAATTCAGTGCCATTTTTATATTGTTATCTTTGTGATCATAACTGTTCTTCACTCAGTTTGATGTACTATGAATATTCTTGTAACATCATGTCCTTAAAAGCTACCTTTTGTTTTGTACTGTCAGTTGCAACCATAGTATCTCTGTACCATTCTCTCTGCATGCATCTTCTCCCACAAAAGGAGAGACTGCTGTCTCAATGGGAGCATTCCCTTCCTTTCTCCAGAGCATTTTGACAATTCTCCACAGTGCTAATAAAAGACCACTGGAGGTAGAGATATGCATCATCTCTCCCTCCACGCAGTGTTAACAACAAAGTTAATACGGCCAGAGGTTATATATACTGTACTTAGAGAATCATTTCCACAAAGCAAAACAAAGTGGTCAAGCACCTGCTGGGAAATTCCAGGCAATACAGTTGCAGTGGAGTCACATTGCCAGGGAACCAGGGCAGAGCTACAGAGGGCTAAGAGCTGATCAAAGGAGGCAGAGGATCTCTGCATAGGTGCCCCACTTCCCCCAACAAAACTCCAATATCAGCAGCATTTGTGGGTTGGCCTCCCAGTTTGTCCCCTAGAGGTTGGGGAATGCTACCTCCAATAAGAGAACTCAAAAGAAACTTTGAAGGAAGTGTTTTCTGTCTCCTTTGTGGTATTTCCACATATGAGTACAGTCTGACCCAGAGTTTACTGAATACTATAGTAAAAAATAAAGGCAACGTTGCAATGCTTTGCCCTGAATGATCTATTTTGGAAGCTGGAGTGGCTAATCCAAAGAGCTGATTTACAAACAATGCAAATTGAGACGTATTGAAAATTCTTTGGAACATAAGAGTACAAAAGAATACCGGGGAGGTAGATTGACATCAATCAAATGAGATTCAATACAAATATAAGCTAATATTAAGTTAAGCTTTTATGACTGTACAAATTTACAGGCAGTGGAACAAGTGGCTAAGAAGGCTAGGGAATCTCCATCCCTGGATATAGTCAAAGTTAGAGTGAACACACATCTAATTAGGAATGGTTTGGGAATGATAAAATAAATCTTGCTGTGATGCTTGGTTAGATGGCTCTTTAGAGATTCTTTCCATCCCAAATGTTTATGTATTTTACTTGCGTAATTTAATTGTGGGCTAGGGAAGGGCAATAATCAACTACAGTAATGTATACCTCTATACTGTTTGCATATTTCTGCAGGTTTCCTAGTAATACTGTTTAATATGGTAGGTCCAAAATTAATTACCATGTACTCTGCACTCCAGGAGATTAAAATAATTATAATAATCATGTATTTACTATGTTTTGTTCTTTACCATGTAAATAAGTTACCACTGCTGATCAAGATAACAAAAGACCTAGGTTCATAACACAAGAACTAGGGGTCACCAAATTAAATTAATAGGCAGCAGGTTTAAAACAAACAAAAGGAAGTGTTTTTTTCACACTGACTGTTTTCACAGTCAATCTGTGGAACTCCTTATCAGAGAATGTTGTGAAGGCCAAGATTATAACAGGGTTCAAAAAAGCACTAGATAAGTTCATGGAGGATAGGTCCATCAATGGCTATTAGCCAGGATGGGCACGGATGGTGTCCCTAGCCTCTGTTTGACAGAAGCTGGGAATGGGCGACAGGGGATGGATCACTTGATGATTAACTGTTCTGTTCATTCCCTCTGGGGCACCTGGCATTGGCTGTTGTCGGAAGACAGGAAACTGGGCTAGATGAACTTTGGTCTGACCCAGTATGGCCGTTATTATGTTCTTAAGCTCAATAGTGAATTGGCCAGTAGTACTTACATTTGTAGCTTATAACTTGAAAAGTTAAATATGTTTTGGGGTTAAAACTAAATGCAGAATTAAAGGAAATAATTATATCTCCCAGTGTTTTAGTCTTCTCTTTAATACCAGCAATATTGAATAACACCATTAGACTTCCAGGCACAACACTATTACTTTCACATCTTCTTTACAAAAAACATACACTAATCTACGTGAGATGAGTGCTCATGAGGTTTAGAAGGACATTCTCCACAACTCTGTGAATTTCA